TATACTAAACTTTTGCATCAGTAGTTTCCTGAGACATTAAAAATGTTTCTGCAGCGTCAGCTACGTTCTTTTCAATTGCATCTTGTTGTTTATTGTCAAGTGTCAGGCAGTCTGGCATGTTAGTAGGACTGTTATGTACAGTCTTTTCAACCTGGTGGTTTGAAGAGCATTTAGAACAAGTATTTTGTGGTGGAGCTGTTCAAGTAAATAGAACCTATGGTTATCACCTGGTTCAAGTCATCCCATATGCAGCTGGGCCAAAGTTTGGACACAGATGGTCAAATGGTGTTTGCCATTGATTCACTCAAGAACATCTTTCAGAACCATGTACACCCACCACCCATCTATAAAGGGAGATCCAAAGGTTTCTCCTGTGTAATCTGAAGAGAGAGCTAGATGGTGGATCTACACAAAATATTTTTCCTTATGTGTTCTGTGTGAATAGCTAACACTTTCCAATCCTTCCTAAGAAAGGTGGAGATTGCATCGTCGATGTTTATTTAAGTATTACATTTACTCTAGGAGATTGTATTTGTCATTTTTCCAAAAGAGTCAACTAAACTGGGATAAGTTATGAAGGAAAAGTAGGTTATATAAATTTGTGGTGGGGATTCAATACTCTGTAAAGCTTTCATATCTTATGGTGTGGTTTGGGTCCTTTTATGTTTTATGCAATTTACATCACACTCCTTTGTCAACTTGGGAAGGATTTTTTCATATATTTCTGACTCGGTTGTTGGATGTCATCAAAGTAGAGTTCTTGAACAAATTCTGTATTTTTAACAGGTTTGGGAGATTGTGTACTCGAAGGATGGTGCTGTAAAGGAGGTTTCAAGGATTATGGAGCTCAAGGGGCACAAGGTAAATGATATCACGTTCTTGCACTAAGAAAGTGTATTTTCATCTTCTCTTTTTGTATCCTTCTCTAGGGTTCTAGATCAATATTATCTGAGTTCAGGTGTTTCCGATGATATTTCTAGGGTGAACAAGATAGGAACAGGCTTATTATTGTCCTAATTTGTACTTGAGTGAAATTTTTTAGCTTTATGTTAATATTTTAGGGAAAGGAGAAATTTTAGAAAATTATTATGGGAGTATCAATTTGAAGTATGCTGTTTCAGCAAAGACCTCCGAAGATTCAAATACTTTGTGGTTGATTGTAGATTGGGAGCATCTCTTTCAATTTGTGTTCATGATTCAGCTGATGAATGCAATCTTGATTTTATTATAGGTGTAGAATGCTCTCTCCACAATTGACAGTGTCATTTAGTTTCAATGAACTTTTGCGATTGACCTTTTTTTTGTATTTGCTGTTATTTTGTTGCTTTTTTTAATCATTTCTGTATATGTCTAAATTTTATGTGGATGCTATACAGAGTGCAGTGACGTGGCTATGCTTTAGCCCGAATTCTGAACAAATAATCACTGCATCGAAGGATGGTACCATCAGAGTGTGGAATATTAATGGTATATCTTCGCCTCCATAGCTTTATTTTGTTACTAATTTACCATTATTACCTTGTCTAATTAATTTTCCTTTGGCTCTTGCATGCAACATTCTTGTTCAGTACGTTATCACCTTTCTGAGGACCCCAAGACATTAAAGGTGTTCCCTATTCCCCTTAAGGATGCAAGTGGCACAACTTTACACTATGATCGTTTATGTGTATCACCTGATGGAAAGATATTGGCCACCACTCATGGTTCAATGATGCAATGGCTATGTATGGAGACTGGGAAGGTTCTGGAAACAGCTGAAAAAGCACATGATGGTATTCTTCTCAAATAACTTGATGCCTTTATCAAAAAAAATGTTCAACCATTTTCATCCTTTTTGTATGTGCAGAACCAGTCTGTAGAAGTTCTTCTGTATATGAAGCAGCTATGAGCCTATGACTGGGTGCTTCTTGGCAACAGTTCACAAATTTTTGTTCCTTCCCTAATAGATAAGACAACAAGAACCTGAACAGAATACATTAGCACATCCTTGGGTAGGAAAATAAACTGAAACAAATAGCAGATTATGAAAACTATAAAAAATGATCATTCTAATAGAAATATTACAAAGGAATTGAAGCCTGGGCCCCAAGTATCACAATTCATTACTTAACCTGTGCTTTACAACATTTATTGTATGTCTAAACACAAATTACTACAAAAATAAGAAACGTATTAGAAAAAGATAAAAGAAGATCTTTGACAAAGGTGCAAGTAACTTGTTCATGAACTTGTGCACCACAGTGCTTTTTGTCTACTGGGTGGGTGAACAACGGTGGAATGAGTCTGATTTACAAGAAAACAAAATATGGGGAAGTAGCAAGGGTTCCTGTGAACCCAGAGTGTTCAAAGTGGCTCTGCCACTGTGGCCGGTAGTCCAGCCATACCAGTCATGCTATCAACTTGAGTTGATTTGAAAATTTATTTTCTTCCACTTTTTTACAGGTGATATCACGGACATGGCATGGTCGCCTTCTCCAATTCCAATGGGTAAGTCTCTCCCATCCCAAGTGATGTTCTTTTTTATGTGTGATTCTACTTTATTTTATTTTTACTGTCTACATTAGGTCATTAAGAGGATAAGCTTTTTTTTCCTCTTTTTTTTTTCAAACTCTTTTGCCATCAAGGCAAACAACAGTTTGTCTCTTTTGGCTGGCATCTTGCTTTCAACGTGTATTCCTCTTAGTTTAAATGTCTTTTCTGAAGTCTTCCATTTTTTTCAAGTATGGAGATGAGACTCGGTTTCTATCATAAAAGCTATGATGGAGAAGTTTGAGAAATCGGAGCAAAAAGGAAAAAATTAATAGTAGGAGCAAATCCTTGTGGTTTAGGAGGAAGCTATCAATTTACACTTCTTCCTGCTGTTGAAAAAATTGTACTCCCCCTGGTTCAATATGTTGTCTTAATTTGACTGCCCACTGAGTTAAAGAAGTAAAGAAGACTTGAGAATCTTGTGGTCTTAAACTAAAGATATGTAGTATACATCAAAATGTCCTTTAATCGTGTAGTCTTATAATTTTTTGGACTTAAACATGTGGGACTAAAGAGTTGTCAAATTAGGAAAGAGGAGCTCCTTTTTAAAACAGGCTAAAAAGAAAATTAAGACCAACAAATTGAAGGGGAATGAGTAGTAGCTTAATAACCAATCAGGCTTTAAGTTCATGGAATGTGTTTTAGCAAAGATTTCCAATGGCAGCAGAAAACTATTAGTATTTATTTTGTGCAAAAAGTTTCAACAAATTTTGATTTCTGGAAACGGTCTTAACATTATTAAGCTTGGTTTTCTTTTCAATGTATCAGGTGACAAGAAAGTTCTGGTGTTGGCCACAGCCAGTGTCGATAAGAAAGTGAAGTTGTGGGCAGCTCCATCCCTGAATGCATCATGAATGACAAGTATTTGATGTCTCGCCTAGTTTTTTGAACGAATAGATCAGAAGAGGAGAATACAGCCGAAGTTCGAGGATTGAGTGCTTACATCTTTTAAGGGCTTTGTTATTTAAAGAGAGACTTAACCAGAATGTGGTGAAGCTAGAGAAAAATTTTGATGTTTAATTTAATGTTATATATACATGGGTGGTAGGTAGTTTTCTCTGCCAAGCTCCAAGGGATTGTGAGGTGTTACTGATCTATTTTAGAGCTTAAAACCTACTTTTTTCTGTTTCAATTTAAAAGAAAATTATATATTTTGCAAGTTCCCTTCTACTTGTGAGAAAAAAGGAGTCTCTTTTCTGTTCTTTTTTTTACCAAAACAAAAATGGGGGTAAGGTAGGGGATTATAAAAACCTTTCGCCTTCAAGATCCCTACTCTTTCTTGCTTTAACACAATAAAAAAAAATTTAGTACTCATGTTCTAAAAAATAAGTTATGAAGCTTTGTGCGACTAATGCAATAAGAAATTCAATGGAGTATTAAATTATTTTTAAATTGCATTTGACATTGGAGAGTAAAGAAAGTTGGAAATTAAAAAGAAAGTTAGAAATTTTAAAAAAAAAAAAAAACCGCCCACCGTGGGGCTCGAACCCACGACCACAAGGTTAAGAGCCTTGCGCTCTACCAACTGAGCTAGACGGGCTTGTTGTTAAATATTGTTAAAGTAAACACTCTATGTCGAAATCAAGTTATTACAGGTTAATTATTTTTGCAGTTTTTTTTTGTTAATCATGTAAAATTAAACTAATTGGAAGCTAAAATTAAATATGATCTTCAATCCAGATCCTCAATTTTCAACCTTTAAGAGAGTTTTTTCTTTTTTTCAGAAAAAAATAATCAAGAATGGTTTATTAGTCTCAATTTTAAACTATATTCTATAAAAGAGAAGTATTGAAAACACTCCTGAATTCGGAGTTACTTTCGTCTCAAAACTATTGACAATCTTAAAAACACCTTTCTACTTGACTAACCAAACTTAGATACACACCGGATATGCAACATGACATAACAAGTGGTCTCAAACTCTTGTAGGAGTATGTAACTCTTCTTAATAAAAAGCCAAGCCAAGAAACCTGTTAAAAACCCCATCAACAAGAATTTATAGGTATATTTCACTCATCTTACAAAATAGGAGGTGTATTTAGGTCAAGTTGATCCAATTAAATGGTAATTTTTAAGGCTGTCAATAGTTTAAGGATGAAACAATAGTTTGTGTCAAGTTTAGAAGTATTTTCGATACTTTTCTCTCCTTATAATGAATAACAAAGTACTTTGCCATGCTTTTGCTAATTTATTTTATATTTTTTGAAAGAGCTCTATGCTATAATCCTCCTTTCTATCGGATATCCTCGAAAAATATAGGAATGTTTCAAAATTTAATTAAGTTGTTAACAATTGGTGCAATGTTAAGTACACTTTGTTTTGATAAACACATTTAAGAAAATATAGATGATTGTTATAGAACTACAAAGCGTTACAATTTAAAGTTTACATTAACTAAGAAAAGAAAAAAAAAGACACAAACTATGCAAGCACTATAATATATATAGTGCTTGATAGAGCAACACAACACGTACATTCACATTACTTAATTAATCCAACGTTTTACTAAATCAACTTGTCTCGAAATACAAAGAGAACAGGATTACATGATTTTTTTAATAGAAGAACAACAAAAAGGTTTCAATAAAAGTTATTGCATTTATTCAGATTTGAAAACAGGTGCTGATCCATTAACCTTCTCCTCCATTTTCAATTTCTCTCTTCTCTGTCATTATTCACAACACACAAGTTACATAATTAGACGAATTCGTCCGTAACAAGTCATTCTTTATAATAACATTACGTTATAGCAACCAAAAAATATCTAAACAAATAACATTGTTTGTTATAAAGAGATTTTACTGTATTTCTTTCTATCCTAGGGCGGAAAAAGATTGATTTCCTATATAGTTGCTCAACTAATAGCTATTATTTCAGAAAGTCACATTTTTTCTTGATTTTAATGATTTAATGAGATCATAATCATTTTAGAAATTAACTCAAAAGCCAATGAACTATTGATTAGATAATTACATTTCACTAATTCTTTTTTGTTTCTGAAAAAAAAACACAACATTTTAACTGTGAATTACATGGAAAATTTCCTAGGAATTAGTATGAAAATCTGTTAGGAAACTTATTTTAATCCCCTGAAAATCCCATGTAATTCACGTTTTTCTCGTAAAAAAGAAATGTTTTATTAATTATATCGAGGTTTTCTTTTTTCTTTTTCTTCAATTTGGTCGCATTATGTTAAAGAAAAAAAGATGTTATGTTAATACCTTTTCGAAGACTTCCTTCTGGTATCGATATCCCTGCAACAAAAAAAACAAAAAAATATTACTCCCAAAAAAAATTAAGAGTTTATGAGTTATAAACTTGTCACTCGAACTCATAATTTTTCGTGTTCACGATTAAATATTTATACGTAACGTCGAACTGACCTTGTCAGTTCCATAGATGTAATCACAGTAAGTGAAAACTGAAGCAAAGTTACTGTGACAACTTTCCCCAACAAAGTGATGATAATCATGGTATATAGCTCCACCATAAAATGGTATATACTTTGATGGGCTCCATGGAAATTCATACCTACATGATTTTTAAAAATAAAAAAAAATGAATCGCGATGCGACTATAGTATGATATAATAATAAAAAAAAAAAATTATTGTGTGTACGTTATAGTATATAACGCACCCGCTGTGAGTCTCAATTGCTTCAATTTGTCTCAAGACAAACCAAAGCAAAAATGTAAACATGTGACAAGGAACCAAAAGTGGGCCAAGAAAAGAAGCTAAGCCCAATATAATAATTTCAGCCCAGTGGGCATAAGGTGCTGCAAAACTAATTGGGGCCACATATTCATGATGAACTCTGTGGATTTTGTCATAACCCCATTTGTAGTGATGGAGCATTCTGTGAAGCCAATAATTTGCATAATCTTCAACTAAAAAATACACAACTAATTGCCAAAATACTTCTGAAGCTGATGGCAGGGGTAAACTTGTCCTTATTCCAACCCACTGCACAAAGTACAAAAATTTAATAAATCACAAACAAAATATATATATATATATATATATATTACTACTCCACTATCTATTTATTTTTTCTATTTTTTTGCATGGTGTCAAACAGAAAATAATATAAAATAATTGAGTTGTGTGTTTAAGGTTTATTGAATTATTTATTATCATATTATAGACTTCAGTGAAAAAAAGATTCTACTTTAATTTAAGACATGCATAGGATACCTTTGGTGTCCTTTATGTTCAAAAACATAATAAAAGTAAAAATTAGTGTGTAAAATGTAGCGTTCGGTGTTTTAAAAGATGGGGGCGAGATTTTTATGGATCGCGGAATGAGACATAATCCTTAAAATATGGGATGTGATTTCTATGAATTTACGAGATGTATGTCTCATGTATTTTTAAGTATTATTATTTTATCACTAAGAAATAAGTAAAGGTAATATTTTTTTTTACTAGTTCTGTAATATAAAAAAATGATAATAATCATCGGTCTTTATATCATTACATCAATAATAAAATAATTAATGTACAGGTTGTATACTTCAAGTCAAATTTTAGGATATACGCCTTACAGATCTACATTTTTCGAATTCACGTCCCAAAGCGTTTCTAGCATGTCGTTGTGTGTTTATTACACCTTTCATTTACGTCCTCAAGTGTTTCTAGCTAGCCCCACCCTAGAACGCACATGATGTTGTGTATTTATTTTGACTTTGAAACTGATGGCATCTTTGAATCATTTAAAGTGACACGACTTATTTCGAATAGTTCAATGGTAATTTTGATTATTACATAATTTGAAATAATTGACACTTCTTTCTTTTTTTTTGTGTAAAATATGAAGAAAAAAAAATAAAAACAGTGCATGGATAGATACATACCTCAATGATGGGATAAGAAAAAAGTTGTAGAGGACCAACAGCAAATACAAAAGTGATGAGGACTTTTCTGTAACATTCCATCATTTCAGATAAAGTAAATGTAGTTTTGGGTTGAATCTTGTAAATTTCAAACTTTTTGGACCTTAATAGCTCAATCATAACCATTGGTAAAGGGACCAAAGTGTAGAAAATGATCAAAAAGATTGTGTTATGGCAATAGAGATAGAAATCTGATTTATTTGCAGTGTAATTGAACCATAATGTCTCTCCGTATGTCAAATTTCTCCCTAGAGACATAGAAGCCTCTTCAATACTCTCAAAAGGCAACATTTTTTCTTCTTTTTTTTTTTTATGAAAATGTGATTGTTTTTTTTTTCAACAATGTTGGATCTTATACTTGTTATTGTTGATGTTTTTGGTTTGTTTTTCTCTCTCTATGTATGTAGAGAGAGAAAAAGAGAGGGGGGAAGAGATGAAAGAGAGAAAGAGGAAGATGTAGTAATGGAGAAAGGAAACTAGACTTGTTTAAAATTATAGGGAGAGAAGAGGTGGGGAGAATTAAAAGGATTATCATTAGGTGTACTAAAAATGTGAGATGTGTAGTGTAAATATTTTAAGGTAGAGATTATTATGAGATGAATAATAAATTTTTTTTCGTTTTAGTTTATCTATCTGATTTGATATGGATCGAGTGGAAAAAATAAATAAATAAGTTGTTATTTTAAAAATCTGTAAAATCTATCAGAATGTCATTTAATTTTGTGATTTTAAACGATGGTGAATTCAGAATTTATTAGTTATTGATGCTCAATTATTTTTTAATTTAAAACTGATATTAAAATTGGGTGCCCAATTTACATATCCATACAAACTATTGACTTTATTTTATAAATAATAGCGTTGGCTTCAAAATGTAATGGGTGCTAGCTCAAGCACCCATAAACTAGAATATGCATGTCACTGATTTTAAATCATGTGAAAAATTGAAATTGAAAAATTAACCAAAACGAAAAAAGACGTATTTTTTAAAGACAAACTTAAAAGAAAAGAATGTAACATGATTACTTTCTTTATGTTAATTCGTGTGATACAAATTAAATTTCAAAAGTCAATCGATTCTTTTTCAAGTTGTTTTTGATATTTAAGTTATTAATTATAATGATTTACAATGTATTTTACATATTTTACGTAATATATATCTCCCTTTATTCTAATTTATGTGATATAAATAAAATTTTGAAAATTAGCATACTTTTCATATGTTTGAAAATATTATAATTTATAATTATTAAGATTTATAATATTTTTTACATACTTTTTTAGTCTATATAAAATGATAAAATTTTAAAGAATAATATAGTAGAATTACCAAATTGCCCCCGATATACAAGCAAAAATGAAGTATATTATTTTATTAGTAATAAATGAAGTAGCATGCTTTTGAGTAGAAAAAATAAATACACCAAGTACATAGTTATACTTCTTTCTGGTTTTAAAATAACTGATATTTTTAATTTACGAATCTTTTTTTAAAAAAACAATTTATTCTTATAAATAAAAGGTGTTTTTACTGATTTATTTATCATCAAATGAAATCTAATTAGTACTTCTTAATCATATAAACAATAATAATTTTGATAATATTAATTATTTCTTAAAACACTAAAATATTACTTAGCTAAAAATAAAATAAATAAATTAAAACACCACTTAATTAGAACGAAGAAAAAATTAAATAATATATTTAGATATTAATGTTGAAATGGTATAGTTTAATTTAATTTATTAATATGAAGAAATAAAAAGACCTACTACTAATATTTGACAAGGGAGTAAAGAGAGTAAGAAATAATTAAAGAAAATTCAAACGTAACCAATAAATAATAATAATACTCATAATAAATAAATAAAGAGTGCCAAACTGAAAAATGGTGAGCAAAATTCAAGGGCCTAAATAGGTCTTTAGCCTTTTATTTACGGATAATGCTCAAGTACCCCCTCAACTTATGTTCGAAATCTCAGAGACACATTTATACTATATTAAAGTTCTATTACCCCACTGAACTTATTTTATTAATAATCTTTTACCCCTTTTTAGCCTACGTGGCACTATCTTGTGAGTCCAACGATGGTTGACTTTTTTTTTCAAACTAGTGTCACGTAGGCTAAAAAGGGGTAGAAAATTACTTATAAAATAAGTTCAGGGAGGTAATAGGACCTTAGTATAGTATAAGTGTGTCTCTGAGATTTCGGGCATAGATTGAGGAGGTAATTGTGCATTTTCCCTTTTCTTTACAACTATTTAATTTATTTATTGGAATTCGTTTGAAAAAAATATATTTTTATAATCTCAAATTAGAAATATATTAAATGTATTAAAGTATCTTCTATTTACTTATTATGAAAAGTTATATATGATAAATAAATTAAAATTGAAAGAAGTAATTTTTTAAACTTTTGTTTTTTATATTCCTCCCATTTCATTTCTGATATGCATCTTATATTAATAACATGTGTGGTGGGTAGAATGCGATTAAGCTCTATTTTCTCCATACAATAAAAGATGCTAAAAAATCTCTTATTATGATATTTGCACATGAAATGTTTGATTGATCAATGTATGAGTTGAAAATTATAAAGTTTTAATTTAAATCTCATTAGAGAATTTATTTTTAAAAAATGTTGAATAATTTAATTACATGTCTATTAATTTTGATAGACAGAATCATTTGTTATTAGTTGGAGGATGCACTATCTCGTGAAATAGTCCATTATCAAGAAACACGAAAGAGAGAAATACTTCTTATCGTAATATTTTATTTATTTATCATCATATTTAGTTTTTGTATTAAAGTTTGATTAATATAAATTTGCATTGCATAAGATTTCTTAAAAAAAATAATCTCTACCGAAAATAATTACGTATTCAATATTCAAAACTAAACAAACTTATTAACGAAAGAGCAACTTCATTCATCACACCATGTCCTCTTATTATAACCACACCATAACAAAATGTATAAAGAGTAGAGAATCCTTTTGTTGCCACACCGTGCTATAAACATTAATAAATATATACGTATATTTCTCCATTCATTTTTTCAATTTTTATTTTATAAGAGTTAAACTGATTAATTTTTAAAACTCAATTAGGTTAATTTAATATTTCTAATATAAAGTTTGAATGATTGAAAACTATTAAACAACAGTACAAATTGTAATCAATTTTATATTAATAAGATGAATAATATAAATTTTAAATTTTATATTAATGTGATGAATAATATGTATTTTAAATATTTATCAAAATTTCTATCATCTAACTATGGAAAAACAAAATGCGTACTAAACTTTTAACTCCTCATAAGTTTTATACCTTTTGTGGTCACGCAATAGCCACTCATAGTATGGTGGGAGATACGGGATAGCATAATCGTATATATGATATTTTATTAGTGTGATGAAATAAAAATAAATATTTAGGTTATAGTATTTCATTTTTTTACTGTATAAAATAACTTTTACCATCTTAGTTAACTAAGATAATTTTAAAATTATTATTAGATATAAAATAAAATTATTTAATAAAATATACATCCAAAATTATTATTCTTATTTCATTAATCAGACTACTTCCTCGAGTTTTAAGTCATTAACAAAAACAAATATAATACTACAAGCAATAGTTTCCATTTTATCATTTTGGGGCTAACTTATTGTAAATCAAATAACTCACAATTTAACAATATTTTTATTTATTTTTATTTGTCATATTTAAATTTAACATGTTCATTAAAAAACACATTTAATTACCACAAAATTCTAATTAATTGATTTAATATTAGCTTTTTGAAAATTGAGTAATTAATACTAAAAAAATAATTATAGTTACTTGAATGAAAGTGAAAGATCAACCCCTAACATATACTTATTTTTTTTACGAATAACTGACATCAATAAATGTTGTCCGTACATGATTCAATTATTTCACCGAAAATAATTTGTTTGTTTTAATTACTTGTCAATTTTTAAATTGACACATCTATTGAAAAGATAATAAGTTACAAGTTAAATTATTATTTTATCTCTATTAATTAGGAATGAAAATTTTTATAATTTTTAAAGTAATTAATTATTTATTAAGGGTATAACAGATAAAAAAAATTATATTTTTTTATTTATCAAAATAAATAAGTAATTTATGACAACTATAAAAAAAAGCGAAGAATTAATCAGGGACAAATATCTCATAAATTGATTAATAAGTATTCCCTTTGTTTAACTAGTTGTCAATTATACTATTTTGAATTATCCAACAATTTTATTCATTTTATGATTTTTTTAATAAATTTTACACTTAATCTATTATTTGTTCTTTATTATACTTTTCAAGATATTATATTTAAAAAATAATATAGTAAAATATTTTTTTATTTATATTTTATAAAAGAAAATGTGTAAATTATTAGAGAACAAAAATCATTGACCAAAAATATGTCATAAATTTATAAAAATAAATAGAAATTTTACAATTAAGGTGAATTACATGAGGCACAGAGTTTTTTTTGTCAAAGTTAGTGTCAGAGTTACACAAGATTCGAAAAGATTCCCTTCTTGATTTTTGCTTCTATTTTGGTTGAGAAAGTTACACGTAATTTTATTCAAATTAATTTATTTACAGTCGTAAAAAGAATAAGTTATTTTTTAAAATTACGTCATGACGATACATTATTATTATTTTTTTTTAAAGAAAGCACTAGCATAAATCACGTGTTTAATTCACGCCATCCACAAAATTTGGGTCCATTTGCAAACCTTAAATTACTAAATTGCCCTAATTTATTGAGTCATTTAATAGTTGAATAAGATTTGTGTTATTCATGTATTAATTTTGGCAGAATTATTTTACGTTTAGTACGTAGATAGAAATTATGTTATTTATGTATGAATTAGTATTATGTTTGAATGATAATTTATACATATGTATAGCTAATATATGTCTATATTATTTTATACGAAAAAATAAAACAGTTGATATATAAATAACTTATTTATGTATAATTAATACTTCATCTGTTTAATAATATTTATTCACTATACTAAAAGTAGTTGTTCAATAATATTCTTCAGTTTAGAAAATCAAGAATTAATTTATTTTTTGTGTCTATTTGCCCCTTATTAAGTAGTGTAAATACTTCCTCGTGTTTCTTTTTATATGACCTCTATTTTTATAAATAATTATCATTTTATAAAAATTAATTCGTAAATTATTTTATTTTTCTTATTGTACCCTTAATAAAGTAGTTAATGAATCTCGAAAATACATCCTTTGACCAACCTAAGAAATCTATGAATAATGAATATTTATTGGAGTACTTTATACATAAACTTCTTTTTCCATTCACTATTAAAAAAAAAAGATTTTGAAAAGGAAATATAAACAAACCAATAAAAAACGTTTTATACAATAAATAAATAAATAAATAAATAAATATATATATATATATATATATATATAT